AGGAGGAGATACTGGCGGCCCTCTCGCGCGGTCACGAGGCCAGGGCCGCACGTCGCTTCCTCGAGGCGCGCGCCGCCGCGGACCGCCTCGCCGGCGGCGGCGCGGCTGCCTCGGAGTCGCCCCGCCGCGACGCTCTTCCGGCGGGCGGCGGGCCGGCCCAGCTGGCCGACGCCTTCCCCGTCGCCGGGAGCGCCCGCCCATCGCTCGACGCGACCCGCGAGCGCCTCGTCGCCAGCTGCGTCGCCCGGCTCCGCGCGCCGCGCCTTACGCCGAGCAGGCCCGCCGCATGTTGGACTGCGCCCGACACCCCCTCCCGCCACCGCCCGCCTCCGCCATAGTCCCCCCGCCGCCGCCACCTCGGCCCCGATCGCCGCGCGCCTCTCGCCCGCCGCAGGGCCGCCACGCTGCTTGCCGCCATCCACGCTGTCGGCGGAGGCAGCGGTGCCACCTCCGCGCCCGCCGACGCCCGCCCGCCCGCCGGCCCGCCCGCCGGCCCTCCCGCCGCGGCACTGGTCCGGCTCTTCTTCGACTCGCGCGCTGAGGCGGCGCGCGAGTGCGCCGCGGCGGGCGAGGCGGCGGCGGGCGAGGCCGCGACGGGCGAGGCGGAGCTAGGAGGGCGGCGCGGCGGCGGCGGGGCGGCCGAGGCGCCGGGCGGCGCCGAGGCGCTCGCGGGCGCGCTGCGCTCTCTTTGCGACGTCCTCGAGTCGGCGCGGCCGCACGCGCTGCTCCGCGCCCTCTGCCTCCCCCTCGCCGTGGAGGCGGAGCCGGGCACTGCCGGCAGTGCCGCCAGCAGCGCCGCCAGCAGCGGCACCGCGTTCGCCGCCGCGCGAGCCGGTCTGGCTTTGGCGGCGATGTCTGAGCATTCGGCATCTCTCGGCGCGATTAGGCGCGTCTTCAACGGCGGCGGCGGCAGAGGCGCTCGAGCGAGCTGCGGCGGACGGGTGGAAGCTCGTGGCGGCCGCAGTCGATGGTGCGGCGCGTGCGTTGCTCCAGCTCGACTCGGCGGACGCCGCTCCCTCCCCGCGCGCGGCGGCGAGCGGGGCGCGCTCCCCCGAGGCCTTCTAGGAACCTTCTAGGAACTTTCTAGGAACCTTCTAGGAACCTTCTAGGCGCGCTCCCCCGAGGCGCGGACAGGCGGCGGGCCTCGCTTGTGCCGGCTGCTCTCGCTCCTCACGCCGGGCGAGCCGTGCGCGCTCGCCTTCTCGACGCACCTCGAGCGGGCGCTCGCGGCCGAGCTGCGGACCGCCGCCGCCGCGCAGCCCGCCGTGCGAATGATCAAGGCGGCGCTGGTGCGCGCCGCCGCCGCCGCCGCCGCCGCCGCCGACAGAGTGGGCGAGGGCGTCTGCGGCGCCGATTTTCGCGCCGAGGACGGGTGCGATTGGGTCGCGGGCGCGGGGGCTGAGGCGGACTCGTCGCGCCAAGGGGGAGGGGAGTGGGTGCAGCTCCCGCCGCCGCTCGTCGCGGTCGTGCAGACGGCGGCTGCTTCGGCGCACGCCGCCTGCTGGCTGCGCACCACCCTCCACCGCCTCTCGCGGCCGCCTCTCGCGGCGCCGGCTGGCACGCCCGCCCCCGGCGGTGCGCCAGACGGGAGCGGCGGGCATGGCGGGCGCAGCGGACGCGACCCGGCGGAGACGGCCCTCGCAGTCGAGGTGAGCGCGTGGTGGGCGGTCCCGCTCCTCGCCACGCTCGAGTCTGCCGTTGCGGTCGCCTCGGCGAGGGCGGCAAAGGCGGAGGTGGCGCGGGGCGGCGCGGCGGCACGGGACAGCGGCGAGGCGGCCGCGATGAGCTCGCTGGTGCTCTCGGCGCGGCTGTGCGGCGCGCTTGCCGCCCAGCTGCCGCGCTGGCCTTTGGCCTTTTGCCAGGTCGAGTCGTGCGCCGCGGCCGAGCTGCAGCCACTCGTCGCCGCCTTCGCTTCGCTCGAGGGCACCGCGCACGCCGAGTGGGCGCGCCTCGCCGTCGCGACGCGCGGCGCGCTGCCGCCGCGCGCAGAGGAGGCGTCGGGCGTGTACTGGCGCGCCGTCGAGGCGCACTCGAGCCCTGCCGCCGCCGAGGGAGCGCTGACCGAGCCGCGGCTCACTCTGCCCGCGGAGGCGTCGGCCGAACTGAGCGATTGGCTATGGCGGCGGCATTGCGCCGTGCGTGCCACCGGAAGCTCCGCCCTGCAGCCGCGGCTGCTGGAGGCCGAGGCGGAGGCTGCGGCGGGCTGCCTCGCCGCCGCCTTCCGGTCGCAGCTCGAGCGGCTTGCTGGCGACGACGACAGCGGCGAGACGGCTGAGGCGCGGCAGAGGCAGGCGCTGCAGCTCTACTTCGACGTGACGCTCTGCCGCGCAGCCCTCCGCAGCCGCCCGCAGCCGCTGCCGCCGGCGGATGCGCGGGTCTCGGCGCAGCGGCACGAGTTTGACAAGGCGGCGAGGGCGACGCTCACCGCCGCCGCCGCCAAGCTCGGCGCGGCGGCGCGGGAGCCTCCCCTACCGCGCGACAAGGCGGCGGCGGACGACGGCGCAGCTGTCCTCGCACCACACACAAGGTCTGAGGTTCTGTGCCCCCCTCCCTCCCGCAGGCGGGTGGTGACGACGCGTGCCTGCGTGCGGCGGAG